TGTACAATAGTAAAAATCATGTATATATATATATATATATATATATATATATATATATATATATATATATATATATATATATATATATATATATATATATATATATATATATATATATATATATATATATATATATATATATAGTTTACTAATTTTAATAGTTGATTCAAAATCTTATAATACGATACGATACACGGAGTAAAACGATACGCCGATATTTTCTTATTCGATAACCATATTTTTGATATAACTTGAAGTATTTAACAACATCGTTATTATTAGTGCTACCAAAATCCAAATCTTATTTATACTGTGAAATTGGATTTATCGATCAAGCCATTTTATCAAAGCAAAAATAGTTAGATATATTTTCTTCGCTGTTCTTTTACAAGCATATATGATTTAAGTAATTTACAGTTGACTTGACTCGTTTGATAGGCTTGATTAGTTCAATTGAATTAATTATGGTTATCTTATTTATGATATTATAATATTATTTCGTGTTGCCATTTAATTTACGATTATAAAATGGAGGCTTATATAATAACTATATATATAAGTTTGACCCAGCTAACCTAAATTGAACAATCAAATATATTTTAAAGTCTCCCAGTTTAACTAATAAAATACAAATTGAAAAGTAAAGACAAAGACAATGGAATCTAATAAAAATGTGGCATCACAAATATGAAACACTCAGTCGTCTGTCGTCATAAACAATAATTTATCCGAATGCCTCAAATTTCAATTTGGTCCAACAGAACCTGACTCATGTTACTTTCAGTCCCCTAACTTTAAAATGATGAGACGGCATAAAATATTCTAAGGGAGTTGAAGTGGTCAGTTTTTAAAAGTACAGCTAAACAATTTGGGGCTAAACCCATATAAACAATATCCTAAGGATGAAACTGCAATTTTCCTTGCACAAATAAGCTTATGTCTTCTATATAAACACATGATTGATTACTTTGGCATACTCACACATCCCTTCAAATAGATATATCATTTCTCTAGGAGAGAGAAAAGAAGCAATATATCTGCAAATTAAATATATCTTCTTCCATTTCAAGGAGGGAGAGAGAGAGAGAGAGAGAGAGAGAGAGAGAGAGAGAGAGAGAGAGAGAGAGAGAGAGAGAGAGAGAGAGAGAGAGAGATGACGGTAGGAACAATGGAAGTGATACTTCTTGGGGCTCATGGCCTTCTGAGAACAGACATATTTGGTACGTACGCATCTCTTCGCATTTGTACGTATTTATGTATGTGTATAGATAGAGATATACATGTTTTCCATGGTGTGCGTATATAATGAATGAGTGTTTGGAGATGTCATAGTTATGAAGAATAAATTGGATAAATTTGCGCGCACGTTCCACTTATAGATCCATAACATTTTGTTATTCGTTATCTCATTAAATTTCCACCATTACTATTAAGTTTGATTCCTCTTTCGTTAACTTAACTACCGCCTAATTTACGGTTACGAATAGCATGTAGTGATCTGAATCAATTTAAAATCCGACACCGAGTGAAAAGTTGTTTAATCATAAATTATTTGTGAGAATTATAACACTATATATCGTAATTTATAAATTGAAAAACACAGTTGGTTTAATTTATCGGTTAAAGTTGTAATAATATATTTGTTAGTCCATGCAGGTAAGGTAGATCCATATGTTGTGATTCAGTATGGAAATGAAGAGCACACCAGCAAAATAGTTCATGGTAAACTTACCTTAACTTTCTTCTTCGTCGTTTGTGTTTCATATTTTTATATATTCAACAATTAATTCTATTGGAGATCGATGCAAAAATTCCAAATAATTCTGTTATGAAATATTAAACTTGTAGAAACTATATCTGAGTTCAATAATTCAAAGTTAAAATTTTCAAATTCATACATCTTGTTCAAACAATTTAATTCTATTAACGAATTTTGCACGTCATGTACACGTTCATTTTAATTTTATATAAACCACCACTATTAATTAAACCCAATTGTTTTATATAATTGTTTCAATAAACTAATTGGTACATACATATAGGACAAGGTAGCAACCCCGGGTGGAATGAACGGTTCAAATTCAAGGCACAATACCCAGCAGACGCGGGAGACGATGAACAAAGAAAATACAGGCTCTTTCTTCGACTTATGGACCACGACACTTTCACTCGCGATGACTACCTTGGCCATACCACGTAAATTCCAGTCCCCGGTTTCTATTTATTATTTTTTTTCTACGAATTATATGTGTATATATATCGATATTTAATTAAATTAGTTAGTTAAAAAAAATGAATATATAAATTAAATGCAGGATCTATGTGAAGGAGCTACTTGAGTTAGGTGTGGAGAATGGAAAGGCTGAACTTGGTACTCATAAGTACAGGGTTATTTTAAAAGATGGTAGTTACCATGGTGAAATTCAAGTTGGAGTCAATTTTAGTGTTCCCAAAAGGTTTGTATTTAATTACAATTTAATACTTGTCTTACATATATTAAATTATTCTTTTAGAAAATTTATTTTAATTACCAATTTTTAGGAATTAGCTTTTTTATTTTATTTAATTTTTTTTTTTGGATATAGGGGGTTATGATGAAGAAGATTAATGAGGTGGAGGAACGCTAATAGTACAGCTGGTTGTTACGTTTGTATTTGCATCTTACAATTAGTTCACCATGCATCCAAAATCATATATTGTTTTATTTGTTTTCTGAAATAATTAATTCATGTAAGGTCATCTGCAATAGTTGTTTATTGTTTAAAAATCAATTGTTTATATCTATAATTTAAAAGGCAAACAGTGTGATATGTCTAATTGGGCCAACTCAATGAGTTTACAATTTATTTACCTACTGGGTCACGAACCCAATATTGAAGACCACTATCACCGAGGCCCAATCAGCTTCAAATAAGAATTTGGCCCAACAATCTCAATTAAGGTATAAGTAACGATATAATTCATTTATTAAAGTTTACGACATATTATTTGAATAATACGACGAGTCATATTCTTTCAACTATTTCTACAATCTGCACGTCTGACTTGAGCGTCGGAGGGGTTTCCGCCGGATCAGCCCCCAGCTTAGTTCACGTATTCTCGGTTCGCAGGTATCTCATGGCCATCTAGCACGTGAGCGGTGATCCACTTTGCTCTCCCAGGTCCCTATACCTTAACTACTTAAGGTGATCTATTTAATTTATAGCATCATCATAATGGCGCCGTCTGTGGGAAAGCATACAAGATCACGTGGCGAGCATGATGTCCCTGAGTAATCTACTCGGAGAGAACGTGCCAATGCTAACAACCTCTCACCTCGCGGAGGCTCTGGCTTGCCACTTCCTCCTCGTAATCAGGATCCACATCGGGATGTCTAGAAAAATCCCCCGCTGGATCCACCACTCCCCGCTCCTCGAACGGTTCAGATAGCCGAAGAGACCCACGTCTCTCGCTTACGAGCTCCTCATTCCCCACAATGACAACGTCAAATGAAATAGTAGTGGGAAAACTCATCTACTCCAAGTATATAGACAAAATGAAGAACCTAAAATATAGCGCCTCTCGGGCCACGTGCCCTTAAAAAAAAAAGTTTCAATCGCGCGCGCGAGAAAAACAAAAAGAGAGAGAGAGAAAAACGCTGCCAGCGCGTGCACAACACGCTCACATTATGCCAAAAGCGCGACTCGATTCGCGTAGGAATTAAAAAAATAGAAAAAAAAAAGGAGAGAGAAGAACACGTGCACAGCACGCATGCATGAACGCCACGCGCCTGCGTGTGGCGCGCATGTCTAACACTCACCTGTCACATTGCACGTCCCAAGCCTGCAACCCCCATTTCCCTGTACTCGCCTGGGGCTCCGCGCACGGCTCCTCCTCACACAATATTCGCGCGGCTCTTCTTACATTGCAATTCGTGCGGCTTCAAGCCGCGCGACTCTTCTCACATGGAAATTCGTACGGCTTCAAGCCGCCTGGCTCTTCTCACATGGCAATTCGCGCGGCTTCCAAGGCTTCACCAAATCGCACGCGAATTTCAACACGCTCCATCCAACCGCACCCCGATTTTTACGCGGTTCACCAAATCGCCCGCGAATTTCAACGCGCTTCACCAAATTGCGCGCGAATTTCAACGCGCTCTACCAAATTGCGCGCACTCTCCCATAGATAAAAAAAATTATTATTTCTCCACGCCACGTCAACAATTAACGGAACACTACAACACTGATATACTCTCGACACGATTCGCTACCATTTTCGACTTGTCTCCCACATCGAATTGAGAGTGGGGGGGCTTGCGAGACAACTCCCACGAGGAGACAACTCGCTCAGTCCTACGAACCCGTTGTGAGGCAACTCCCACAAGGAGCCAACTCCCTCGGTACTACGAACCTGCAGCGAGACAACTCCCACGACGAGACAACTCGCTCGGTCCTACGAACCCGTTGCGAGGCAACTCCCACGAGGAGCCAAGTCCCTCGGTACTACGAACTTGTAGCAAGACAATTCCCACGAGGAGACAACTCGCTCGGTCCTACAACCCGTTGCGAGGCAACTTCCACGAGGGGCCAACTCCCTCGGTACTACAACCCGCAGCGAGACAACTCCCACGAGGAGCCAACTCGCTCGGTACTACAAATCCGTTGCAAGGCAACTCCCATGAGGAGCCACCTCGCTCGATAATAAGACTCGCTGCGAGACAACTCCCACGAGGAGACAACTCGCTCAGAGCAACCTCAATCCGCACGCTCCTCAGTCGCGCGTCATCCAACGCTCCTACAACTTCGCTGCGAGACAACTCTCTCGCGGAGACAACTCGCTTGCAATTCACTACACAATCGCAAGCTCAAGTTAGCACGATTACAACCTTAGAAACACTTGGAGATATTATGGGAATCTATATAGCCTGACCAACTTGATTACTCAAATTTCTCTACTTGTTTTCGACGGGTCCTTCATTAAAACGTGGCCATGGTCCAAACATACTTACGACCCACGAGGTCTAACAAGGGGCACGATCCCCATCAAAAAATATTGAGAGCCTGATCCACTTATCAAGTACATCACGCACAAGGCTATATGTAAACACATACAAGCCACGCGTCAAACCATTGACAGCGTCAATAAATAACAACTCCCACGAGGAGATAACTCGATCCGCGCTACCACATCGTCGCGGGACAAGACCGACGACTCAAGTAACTTACATCGCGACAACTTGGTCGCGCTACGCGCCAACGCGCCTTCACGCCCCTCCGACACACGCTCTAACGCATTTTGGTACACCACCAAGCCATACGCCCACGAGCGACTACTACAATTTTTACTCTCGACACGATCTGTCACCCATTTTAACATGGCCCCCACATCGACTCGAGAGTGGGGGGCTTAGTGATATGCCTAATTGGGCCAACCCAATGGGCTTACAATTTATTTACGCCTTGGGCCACGAGCCCCATGTTGAAGACCACTATCACCGAGGCCCAACCACGTTCAAATAAGGCTTGGGCCAAACAATCTCAACTAAGGTATAAGCAACGAAATAATTCATTTATTAAAGGTACTCCCTATTATCTGAATAATACGATGAGTCATATTCTCTCAACTATTTCTACAATCCGCACGTCTGACTTGAGCGTCGGAGGGGTTTCCGCCGGATCAACCCCCGGCCTAGTTCACGTGTTCTCTGTTCGTAGGTATCTCAGGGTCATCTAGCATGTAAGCGATGATTCACTTTGCTCTCCCAGCTCCCTCTACCTCAACTACTTAAGGTGATCTATTTATAGCATCATCACAGTGTTATACACCGTCACTTTTAACAGCACACTTCAACAACATTGTTTATATTTTACACAATTATCATGTTTTGTTTGTTTACTAAATTTTAATTTAAATTAGTTGTACCAACTATATTTCAACAAGCAAATTCAAACGACCATATTGTAACGACCATTTTGCATTTTCTCATTTTGCTGTTGAAGCTCTACTTTGGGATGAAATTATGTAAAAAAAAATGGAAAAAATAGGTTTGCACATCACATTGGAATTGCTCTAACTGGTTACAACTTTTTTTTTTTTTTTTGGCCAAAAAAAATTATTATTCCATTATGATAAAAGACAGGGCCTCGTTAAAACCTTTTGGGCCGACACAAGGAAAAAGAGTTCCCCTACAATGCTAATAAAAAATCAGAAGCTACTCTATCAAAGCTCTTACAAGAAAGCCCCGAAGCGATGTCAAAATGACATACTCTAAAGCTAGAAATTTTAAAATTGCAAAAGTGCCCATGGTGTAGGTTAAAGTGTAACTCCGCCGACTCATCCAGCAAACTCCCAAAGCCAACTCTTGAAATTGCATATTAAACCCCAACTCTAGAATTGATAATTGTGGATCGCACCCTAGAAGATAGAGATGCAGTATCCACCAAACTAAATGTAGAAGAAATTCATGGACGAAAATTGGCAACATCCAACTTATCACTTAAATATGCAGCACGGGCCTCCCTCGTTAAACTCGTTTCAGAGAAAAATCTTGATTTGATTTATGAGAAAACGCCCAATTAGCGAATCGATCCGCGAACGTGTTTTTTTGCCTCACGATGTGCTGGAACGAGAAGAAAGGCTCCATCTCCTCCACACATTATCGAAAAATATACTCAAGCTCCCATACAATGTTCTTGGTCTGAATTGCATTAATGACCTGTAAGGAATCACTTTCCACTGTAATTTTTGAGAGACCCAGAAGCTTGCACAATCTAAGACCATGAACCACCGCTGAAAATTCCGCAAAGTTATTGGTGTCAACCCCAAAATATTTTGAGAAACTAGCAACTAATACCTCATTCCGAATACCTAACAATCCCACCGCCCATACATTCCTCCACTGTGGCAGAGCCATCAGTATTAAGTTTAAAAGCACCACCCTTAGGCCACTCCCATTTGAACCAATTTCCACAGTTATAGCTAGGCTGCACTAAACGAACTCCAATGGCTTGGAGTTGGAGACTTTGAAGCTTCGTAGACGGCTGTTGAGGAACATGATTGATGACCAGGTGCTGAATGTGAGGAAACACTCGACGAATAATATTTTCTCTATAAATTACTTTGTATCGAGCCACCCACAGGTCACGAAGAATATGAAACACATTAAAGGTTCTAACCATTGTGTAATGTGATTGTATTTGTGGTTTTGGGACCCAAACAACAAGAGCATGTTTTGCCAACACAAACTGCGATGGGAGACGAAATAGCGGACTAAAGTGCTGCCATACTTGCCTCCGCCACTTTCGATTGGAAAAAGAGATGGTGGACGTCTTCTTGTTGAGGATTTTTACAACAAACACATCTGGATACCATCGGAATTCGTCTAGAGATAATTTGTTGATCAACAAGGAGCGCGTGCATCAATTTCCACATGAATCCGCCCGTCTTGTAAGGCAAGAACTGGTGCCATATGCGATCTGTCCACGCCTCTCGTTGCCCCAAAACCCTATTATGCCTTCAATACTCTTTAGTCGAGAAATCCCCAAATTTTGTAGGAGTGAATATCAACCGATCCGGTTGATGAGGCTCCAACGTAACTTTCCTTATCGACTCATGCAGGGAAGGAGAAATTAGTGTAAGATATTACGAA